GATCCCAAAAATTTCCACCCTATCACATATTTGAATACACAATACAAAATATTCACAGGGTGTTTGACAAACCTCGTGTCATCTTACTGCTCTTCCAATGATATCATTTACAGAGAGCAGAAGGGAGCAAGAAAGGGATGTTGGGGGTGCAAGGATCAACTTCTTGTATAGAAAATGGTTTTGGAAGAGGCTAAAGCATATCACCGCAACCTCTCCATGTGCTGGATTGACTACAAAAAAGCATACGACTCTCTTCCTCACGAATGGATTCTGAAGTCTCTTCATTGTATTGACCTCCTGAGCAACTTTAATGAGTTGCTGGTCGACTCAACTTGAGATGTACTCGCAAGGGCAGGTGCAGACTTCGGAATCTATTCCAATCAGAAGGGGGATTTTCCAGGGGGATTCTATAGTCCTTTGCTTTTTTTGTCTGTCTTTAAATCCTTTGAGCTTTCTGCTCAATAAAGAGGAGGGTTACCATCCCGGACCTCCTCAGCACAGATCCCCAACACCTCTTACTCATCTCCTTTCATGGATGACATCGAGCTCCTTGCCAAAGGAGATACCAATTTGAAAGAGCAGGTTCTCCTTGTCGAGTCCTTTTCTAATGATATTGGCATGACATTCATTTGAAACGTGGCAAGGTAGTTAATGACGGATCGGTCAAGTTACAAGGGGGAGGAGTTATTGAGCATCTTGTCGAAGATCAGGCCTACACCTATCTTGGAATGCAAGTTCGAGACAAGCTCCAGAATGCCCAAATTCAAGACAAACTTCTAGCCGAGTACAAATCTCACCTAAAGAAAATCTGGAGCTCTGAGCTAAATGCTCGAAACAAGGTCAAAGCCACCAATACTTTTGCTGTACCTGTCCTCTCCTATTCCTTTGTAGTAGTTGACTGGACGAAACAAGACATCCAGTGTCTGGACCGCCTGACCAGGAGGATCATGTCTGATAACAGAGCCCATCACCCTCGTTCCTCTCTTAACCGTTTATATATGCCAATCAATTCTGGTGATCGGGGTTTGATTAATGTGGAGGCTCTTCATGACAGAATTTTATTGTTTATTTTTGCACATATATATTTATCGGATGATCCTCTGGTGATGCATGTCAAGACTCATGATGAAAGCAAGGAATTCCACAGCTATTTTAAGTGTGCCAAGGTTGTTGGACAGAATCTGAAATTTGAGGTTGACTTTGCTGATGACAATGTACTGCTTGACGTTACAACGATGGGAGTAAACCAGTTGAAGTCCTTCACCAAGTCTGCCCAGAGTCGATCTTTTGTGTGGAGAAGCTTTCTGAGAAGCCATTGCATCGCGTGTACATGCAGTGTGTGGAACAGAATAGCAATCCCACCGACTCTTTCGCCTGGATGAAGTCGGCTGGTCTTAAATGTGAAACTGAGGGCTTCCTTTTTTGCTGCTCAGGACCAGTCACTTCTCACTCGTAATCGCCTAAAGAAAATATCAACATGAAATGTCGACTTTGCAATGAATTCACAGAGACTGTCCAACACCTTGTCAGTGGATGCCCTTCCTTGGCACAAACAGCATATCTTAAACGACATGATGGCATGGCTCGTTGCTTTTACTACCGTCTCCGACATGCCTGTGGCTTTGACTCCGAGGTCCATCCATGGTACGACCCTGAACATGTCCAGGGCGTCATGGAAAATGATACTTTCAAACTTCTCTGGAATAGGTCCATATACAGCCTGAGGAGATTTCCAGCCAACAAACCTGATCTTGTCCTTTTTGATAAAGCCAGTGAATTTATATATATCATTGAATTTTCTCTCCCTTTTGACACCAATGTGATTGGCAAAATTCAGGAAAAGCATACTAAGTATGCAGACTTCGCCTTTGAAATGTCTCGCTTGCATCCCAAGTACATTGTCGTCAGGCTCCCCATTGTTCTCGGTGTTCTAGGTTTGGTACCTCCTGGTCTCTTGGCTCAGATCAGGAGAGTGCCCGGGTTCTCCACCGGGAGCACAGCCCTTCTGACACTCTGGGTAATGCAGAAGGCTGCAGTGTTGGGGAGCCTTCATATTCACCGGAAAGTTCTTGGTGGGTTCGACTAGGCAGCGTTTCCTGGGAGAAGTCCCATTCGCTGTCTGGGCTGCGTGTAGAGGGGGCAAGGGCCCTGAGCTGATGATGAGCCTTACCAGCCTGAATGTGCCAGGATCACCCGAACCCTCTCTGCTGCATATTATCTTTAATCTGTAAAACATAATAATAATAATAATAATAAGGGTACTTATATTGCGCAATACTCCATACCACAATGGGGCATGCTCAAAGCGCGCACACATGTTTAAAAACAAACACATCAAAAAGTCTATAAACAGATAGTATAAACATATATTTTACTTACTTAGTCTAGCAACCTAAACATTTTGTACTTTCGGCCAAAATAATCACCTGCTTTATGTAAAATTAACTTTATGTTATGTTTAGAATAAAAGTAGAATTAAAGCCTGGCGGTTTAAAGTGTTGAGGTAAACATGGCCACTGTTTCTTTATAATCAATTCGGCGGACTTCTCGACCAGACGCACCTTAAATTGTTTGTTAATCAGTATCAGAGATTTTATATACTAACAAACAGAAAGTTCTTTTGTGACACGGTATTGTGGAATTACAACTTAATTGAATGTTTACACCTGTTTTGTTTTCAGATATTAAGAAGAAATGTTCTGGAATGTATGTCTTTCCAACACGCAACTGTCGGGAATTTCTTGACTACACCCCGACACTCTGCAATGGAACAGTAACTGTACTGTTCCGTCATTATCCACAGAGTTTGGACATTCCTAAAATGAAAAAGGACGCCAATCAGACTTTGGGAAAACCCAAGTCTATGATCTTCTTCGGTGCTGGTGTATGGGAACACTTTAATATGCCTGCAGTGAGGAAGTATGCCTTGGAGGTGATCTCCTTACGAGCGAACAACACCTGGCCAAAACTGTTATGGTCGGGTTTTCATTATTTTGGCCTCTTCCACAGACGGGTTGTACCAACATCAGACAATGAACACGCAGAAACCTTCAACATGTATATGAAGAACCTCGTGGAAGCGTCCAACGTCCCTGTGTTTGATACCTTCAATATGACGAAAGGAGTGAGGAGTGTGGATGGTGTGCACTATGGTCCTGGGGTCAACTTCGTTAAAGCTCGGATTTTCTTGCACTATATGCTGGAGCTAAAGCGCCAAGGAAAGTGGTAGAGACACGTGTTAGAATACCGCCCGACTCTTTTTGGAAGAACCTACATTTGTGAACTGGGTATCTGTATCACAAGGTTCCGATTTCCTTGAACTACAAACTGGAGCTATAACATCAAGGAAAGTGGTAAAGATGCGTTAAAATACTGTCCGACTCTCTTGGTATGAGGGACACACACTCGGTGCATACCTTGAGTGCAGGAAGAACCTACATTTGTGAACTGGTTGGCTGTATCTGTATCACAAAGATCGGATTTCTTGCACTACAAACTGGAGCGACAACGTCAGGGAAAGTGGTAAATGACATGCTAACTAAGAGTTGTAAGGGTCTACACAATATCGACTTGATACTGATCGATAGTTGGCTTATGAAATTCCTCAACTTACTATTCTCTTAGTTTTTAAAGAGTTTTCTCTACTAATTGTTTGTATGGCGTAAGACAAGTTTGTCAACTTTCACCCTATATATTTTCTTTTCTTATTCATGACATTGTTGATTTGCCAGCAGCAGATAACTAGAGAAATATTAATCTTGATTTTTTAAAATTATTCTTTCTTCCCTTTGCAGATGACATTGTAAGGTTTGATAATACTGTTTTAGGGTTGTAAAACAGATTAGATAAACTTTCTTGGTATTGAAAAGACTGGAAGCTTCAAATTAAATCAGCAAGACTAAAGTTATTGTTTTCCGAAAAGCAGGACCTCTTAAAAAGTGTGAACGTTTCTCTGTAAATGGTGTTTCTGTAGAAATTGTTCCTACTTATCAATATCTAGGTATCCATATTTCAAGCCACGATTCTTTTTATTGTCCTCAAAAACGTCTAGCTCATCAAGCATGGAAGGCTCTCAGTGTGTTAAAATTTCATTGAAGAATACTCTTCCCTTATCTGGTACCCTACATTATATTTGATGTTAAAGTTTTACCCATCAAGGTTTATGGTTGTGAAGTCTGGGGCTTTCATTCATCATGAAGGAACACTCCCAATGTTGTTGCAAGGGGTGAATTTGAACTTAACGCTACTCTGTTAAAGTTAATCAGTTCGTAATAGTCATAAAATATTGGTTAAGTCTTTTGTCTCAAGACAAAAGTGTAATATTGAAATATGTTTATAATTATCAATTCAAGTTGGCTTCCAAAGGCATCAACTGTTGGGCTCTACATGTAACGAATTTATTATTTAAATATGGATTTTGTCAAATTTGGCTTGATCAGGGGGTTAATGATGTTGATTATTTTCTAAGACGTTTTAGAGAGAGATGCATTCATATTGATACTCAAGAATGGTTACGTTCTATGAAAGTTTATTCTAAGCTAAAGTTTTATAAGACTATCAAGTTGAGGGTTAATTCTGAAGTGTATCTGTCACTGGTTAAGGTTAATGTTTTCCGTTTTGCTTTGAGTAAGTTTCGTTATTCAGACCATTCTTTAATGTTGGAATATAGGAGAAAAGTAAATATAAAACAACATGAGGGTTTCTGCCCTCTGTGTATTGTACTTACCATTGAATCAGAGTACCACTTTTGCATTGAATGTGCATTTCACTGTGATCTGAGCCTGCTTCACAATACTACATAAATAACCCATGTGAAACTAAATTTATTAGCTGCTCTAAAATGAACGATTGGTGCGCGACCAAGCGCCCAGATTTACTATTGTCTACAATACATTTTCTCTCCTTAAAATGAACTAAACTGAAAGCCATTAAAAATGCAATTTGACATTCCTACTTTCTTTACTCACACTAATTTCAACATATATAAACCTAACTGGCAGATATGTTTTAAGTGAACATCTGTGAATAATTTCATCTGAAAATGTCCAGTCAACAACAACATCAGTGACGCAACAACGACATCACACAAAGGAGGGGTCACTTGCAGTCAATATCGTGTGTGTCCACCGTGCGCTGCAAGACATGCTCGCAGTCTTTGGGGCATTGAAAGACACACATTTCCCAGGAACAGCTGTTGGATGGTCTGCAGCCTCTGATGGTCTGTGGTCTGATCATGACACCACCCCCTCCAAAACGATCATGTTCAAGGACACAGTTAGGCGCAAGTCTTTCTCCTTTACGTCGATAAATCTGTTGACGTCCATCTGCAAAGGATAAGTTAAACCTGGATTCATCTGAAAAAATGACATCTGGCCATGTCCTGTTGCCACGAATGGCCCCATTTGCTGCCCATCGCTGTCTGGCTAGTCTGTGGCGATGCAATAAGGTTGGACCACGGTACGGGTGACGGCACCAGATGTTGAAGGCAGCAAGGCGTCCTTACACCTTTTGGGCGCTGAAATGACGTTGACTTGTCCCAATTGTCCTCCTTGCCTAATCATCAACTGTTTGGAACCGATTTCGCAAGTGTGAAACTCGGATATTGCGGTTTTGTCGAGCTGTTATCACAGGTGGTGCACCAGGTCGCGGACGATCAGCAACACTTCCGGTAGTCCGAAAACGTTGTCTGAGTCGACTTACAGTGCCTGGCAATCATCACATCTGAAGCACCTTGGCTGACCATACCGATAACCTGAATCCTTTCGTCTTGTGTCAATTGTGGCATTTTCTCAAAGCGATTGAGTTCCAGAATTCCTTGTGCTTTTACAGGGCCTGGGTGCAGGTAATGCATGTGCACAACGTGTTTCATGAGTGTGGTTGTGTTTACGAGAAATGTCAAAGGTTCAGTTTCAGTATCAGAGTTCACGTGAGAGGAATGCTCCGGGACTCGAACTCGAAGTGGGCCAGAATAACAGCCTTTTATCCCTACATCCTCTGTATCGCAGGAAAAAAATCTTCAACAGAACTTTTGAAAGTTTCAGGACAACAAATACCAATTGCGTTTTTAATGGCTTTCAGTATATTAACGGAAGTTGAACATTCTGTTCTGAGAATACCCCGTGTTCCCCCACTCGTGGCAACGCATAACGCGTATGATACAACCAGGAGCCAATTTTATGTGACAGGCTGTTTCAAATAAACTCACTGGTGTGATATAGTTCCAAGTCTGAACAAGTTACCTTTTTGTGCACCCCGACTAGACAACGTCTCTCGCGTTTTCACACAGTTAAAAATTGTAAGCTTTGCTATTGGAAACTATTTTACAATTGAAGACAATACAATATATAAACAGGGTATAGATCTGAAGAACGGAAGGCACGTCAACATACCAAGGACATTGCAGCATCCGTCCTCCGACATTATGATTAGATGTACAAGGACATCAGATAGATTTTACGGGTGCTTTGTTGTGCAAGATACATACTTTCCTGAGAAGGCGTGAGTAGATGTATCAGAGTATCAGTAGAATCAAGGGTGTCGGCGTCCACCAGACTCAGGTTCTCCAGGCAAGCAAGACGAGCAATTCGTGACAACCTGCTGCAGGCGTCCACCAGACTCAGGTTCTCCAGGCAAGCAAGACGAGCAACCTGCTGCAGGCGTCCACCAGACTCAGGTTCTCCAGGCAAGCAAGACGAACAATTCGTGACAACCTACTGCAGGCGATTTTATTCATGCTACCATGTTTTAGTGATAGAAGTTACGGTTGTAAATATCATTACCATTTAGAGTAATTATGAAGAACACCTTGACCGTTTACGGAAAAGGCAGAGTTATATCTGTATTCAATGTTCACATTTGTGAGAAGGTTGGCATTTAGTATAACCAGGTAGGTCGACAAGCATTGTAAATAAAGGAGGCATATTGTGACATTCTATTCCAGTTGTTGGCCCGTGTTCTGTTTTTGCACTCAGCCAGCAGTTTGTCTCAAACTTCACTCTGTCCATGTTGCCTGTGGCAATCTCTTCATACTCCACTACAACCTGAAACACCACAATAACACTGAACTCAACCACAAGTAATATACCAAAGGGTAGAGTAATAGTAATAGTCCGCTTATATGGCGCTCATATCCAGACACATTACCTGCTCACGGCGCCACGTACATTACTATCCTCGGTCATAGGACACCATCGTACGATCTGATACCTCCATGGGGATCATACAGACACTAATCACTCACATTGCCAGCACATCCTCACGGGTACCCATTTTACAGCTGGGTGAACTGAGACAATGTGGATTTAAGTATATTGTCCAAGGATACTACGCAAATGTCCTTGGGACCTAAACCTAGTTGCCTCCACTGGGATCGAACCCGGGCCGTCAGCGCGATAGGCAGACGCCTTACAACTGCAGTATTGCGCCCCCAATAGAGCAGCACGTCTTGGTCAGTTTAAACGTTCATCTTCGGCGACTGTCGAGATGTCCTCTGCTTTAGTTGAAACCCATAGCCATCTTTATTGTTGTAATGTCTCAAACTCAGTTTTAGTCTGTGTAGCAAATATCTCAAATATGTGGTGCTCAAAGGCTTCCATTTCGCCCCTTCTGATGAACATAGTCCTTCCAGCGTATGGGTCAGACAATGTACCATAGCAAAATACTCACTTAGCCTCAGAGTAATTATTCGTCCTTACTGAATAACACTTTTCCGGAGGAAGAGCCATATAATGTACAGCATATCGTCTCGTTGTTATACAGCTAGGATAGTGCCGATGGGATGTTCAGTCTAAAATCATTCACACTTGCACATTCACAAACATTTTATAACTCACGTATGCAACGAACCAGTCATCCCTGTGGCATCGATAAGAAAATGCAAGTCCAATGTCCTTTAGTCCACAGACAGAATCGTCAACAAACTGAAAGAAAACATTTGTTGAAATGGGACAAAAAGCGTTTACGTTTACGTTTATTGAGTCCAAATAAATAAATACCGTTCTTATCATATTGATGTTCGTCAAATGCAGTGAGTGAGTGAGTTTAGTTTTACGCCACACTCAGCAACATTCCATCTATATGGCGGCCGTCTGTAAAAAATCGAATCTGGGCCTAACAATCCAATGATCAACAGCATGAGCATCGACCTTCGCAACTGGGATACGATGGCATATTTCAACCACGTCAGCGAGTCTAACTATCCGATACATTTGTTGCCTCTCACTACGAGCATTGGTTACCGGCGATCAATGCCAATTCGGATCTTCACTTGGCCTTGTCAAGTGCAGTCCCCATTAGCCAAAACTGACTATATTGAGCTTCAGTAAGGCGGAGTCCTTCAGCTTCTTTCCACTGGAGAACACTCAGCGAACATTAAGTGTGCAATGGCTTTATTCACCTACATTCTGTTTTAGAACAGCTAGAATACCTGGTGTGTGTGTGTTGGTATTCTTGAGCTATATTGTATTCGAGTACAGTCTTGTTTTATAAGTGAGTATGTTGTGGCGTTCTTCATGTGCATTCAACTGGAAAACAGTTAAATTACAGATAGCTTACCTTGCGTGTGCGTCGGCATCTTTCAGTATCTTTCCAGGTCGGAACCGACACCTTACCTTGCGTTTGCGTCGGCATCCTTCAGTATCTTTCAAGGTGGGAACAGATAGCTTACCTTGCGTGTGCGTCGGCATCCTTCAGCATCTTTCCAGGCGGGAACAGATAGCTTACCTTGCGCGTGCGTTGATATCCTTCAGTATCTTTCCAGGCGGGATCAGATAGCTTACCTTGCGTGTGCGTCGGCATCCTTCAGTATATTTCCAGGCGGGAACAGATAGCTTACCTTCCGTGTGCGTCGGCATCCTTCAGTATCTTTCCAGGCGGGATCAGATAGCTTACCTTGCGCGTGCGTCGGCATCCTTCAGCATCTTTCCAGGCGGGATCAGATAGCTTACCTTGCGTGTGCGTCGGCATCCTTCAGTATCTTTCCAGGCGGGAACAGATAGCTTACCTTGTGTGTGCGTCGGCATCCTTCAGCATCTTTCCAGGCGGGATCAGATAGCTTACCTTGCGTGTGCGCTGGCATCCGTCAGTATCTTTCCAGGTGGGAACTGTTAGCTCACCTTCCTTGTCTATCGAGACCCTCCACTCCATACGTGTTAACCTACCGTGAATGTACTACGGCGTCTCTTCCGTAGTGTGATGTCTATCCCATTCTTCAGTGCAACACTGACTCGTCCACACCGCCCAGTTATGCCTACAGTGAGGTCAGCTCTGGAACTGCTCCCAGTCTTGAAGATTAACTTGTAAGACGTTTTTTTCCCTGTGGTTTGGAAAGGGGTGAAACCACTGTTTATCTCCAGTCCTTCTGGCAGCCTCATCAATCAGCTTGGGATTCATAATCTATTGCCTCTAAAGATCAACGTGTATTTCTTCTATACGGGAGTTTTCCTCTCAATCTACTGTGTTTTTGTTCTGATATATTTTTCTTATTTCAAATTTTAATTTCCCACATTCATTATATTCTGGTCGTATACATTGTAGCTCTGACATCTGCGTTGGCAATTGGCAACACATGGCTTAAACTTTGAAAGAACAACAACCATTATCATTTTGAAATAGATGTATTGTTTAATGATTGTACAGCTATATTTTGGATCAGTAAATGTCGATCAGTCAGACCATAGGCAGTGAATTTTAAACAATATTAACAAGTACCGAACCCAATGTCTTCAGTTACATGTCTTCAGTTACATGATAATGACAATCGTCCATATTCTAGAGAATTCTATGTATTTTCACATGTACAAAATGTTGTGATTTGGATTCATGTTAACATGTTCATACATTGTTATGTTTCATTAAAAAAATCGAAGGAATTAAGTAACGCTATTCAAACGGCGCAATTGTTCAACAGAAAAAAAATATTTAGTCACGTCCTCAAAAGTTTATCAACCATTAATAATGTATCACTTGTTTCAAATAGTTATCGTTTCATAATTTAGTAGGTCTTCGAGGGCTTTTAAAAAAACAAACCCCCCCAAAACCCAACCCTCAAACTTCAATAAACATACATTTATGCAAATAGACAATGCAGATAACTCATCACGGTCATGTATTCGTTAACTTTTATAAAATTCTGAAATGAAGAGAAGAGCTTTAACCAAAATGTGATAGAGAAGAGATAATGAGACCTGTACAGCCTGTGAATGATTTTCGTATTTGCATTAATATGTAAATAAATTGTTGTATTTAATTAAATAAATCCAGGAATTAACCTGATGTTTTTATTCAAAGTGAGCAATTGTTCAACAATTGTTCAACAATTGTTTTACAAAATCATCAACTATTATCAATATATGACTAGTTTCAAATGTTATACTTCTATAATTTAGAAGATTTAAAAAGACACAAACCCCCCCCCCAAAAAAAACATACATATATGCAAATATACAATACATATACTGAGTCAAAAAAGAAACTTCACATTCTTTCTTCAGGGCACTATAAAAGAACAAGAGATGGTCAGATGGTTAAATTGTTATTATTTCATTGCTGAGATCTGTGTGATGTACTCGATACACTGACAGTGCCATAATCAGTTCCATTAGGCTACACCGCCGTTCCAAAACATGGGTATACAGAATGTCAAGTCACAAGAATAAAAATGCGAAAATTCTCAGTTCAGTATCGTGTATGGCCACCCCGCGCATTCACCACTGCCAAACACCGTCTCCTAATCGACTGCCTGATGCTTGTGAACACGTGGTTGGGGATTCTGCGCCATTGCTCTTGCAAGGCTGAGCCAAGTTCCTGCAAATTCTGAGGTTGGTTCCTAAGACCACGAAGCCTTCTCCCAAGTGCATCCCAAACGTGCTCTATTGGATTAAGTTCAGGGGACCTCGATGACCAGTCCATGACGTTGATTCCAGCGTTTTGAAGGAACTTTCGTGTCAACATCGCGGTATGAGGCCGAACATTATCATGCTGGAACTGTAGACCTGGGCCATGAGCCGCTATAAAGGAACGAGTTCAGGGGTGAGCACCTGGTCGCAGTAAGCAGCAGCTGTGAGGTTTCCATGGATGACCAGAAGTCGGGAACGGTTGTTCCCACAGAAATCACCCCACACCATGCAACTTCCGCCCCCGATTCTGTCGACTTCCTGTACACAGCATTGGGCATACCGTTTACGACGCCGTCTCCAGACTCTATGCCTGCCGTCCGCGAATCTGAGGGTAAACCTGAATTCATCGCTAAAGACGACTCGACTCCAGTCTCTCTGGGTCCATCGGAGGTGACGTTGGGCCCACAGCAGACGTTGACGTTGATGAAACGGCGTCAATATTGGCCCACGATATGGACGTGGAGAATAGATTGGCAGCCCGCAACCGATTTCGAATGGTCTCTGAGGACAGTCGACCTCTAAACATCTCAGCCCTGGTTCGTGTAGCCGGCAGAAATCTGTCACGTAGGTGACGTAGGACGATTGACTGTCGTCTGCTCGTGACGTCACACGTGGACGACCCGACCTTGGGCGATCAGGAGTGGTGCCAGTTTGTTGTAGACGACCTCGCAAGTCATACACAGTACGACGGCTGCATCCCATTGCTCTTGCGACGTCAATAACTGATCTTACCGCTTGCAACATGCCAACGGCACGTTAACGTTGCACATTTGACAATCGTGGCATTTCAAGTACCGTTAGAACTGTGGTTTAAAAGTGTGTTTTTTTCAATTCTTGAGGCCAATGCAAACACGTGCATATGAAGAAAACTTCGATGCGAAGATCACGTGATCGACTGCACGTGCAAAACCTGATTTGGCACTAACGTCATTTGCACGACGAAGGGATGGGTTTGAGTGGCTTTTGCTAACGTTTTTCTAGAGTCGAAAGATAGGGATCCCATTTCGGATACATAGATGTATCATCAGAGACAAATTCTTCATTATTTTTCAAATTACATTTTGTGAAGTTTCTTTTTTGACTCAGTATATATCTCATCACATGTATCTCCTTGTCAATTTGATACATATTTACACTTTATATAAATGTCAATTGTAAAAATACAGACTTTACAGATTTGAAAGCTGGTGAGAAACACATGTTCGTTTTTGAAATTCGTTATATATTGGTAACTTGTACAAATTGAAAAAAGAGAATGGCTCTGACACAAATGCGAAACGGGAGGTGTAATGAAACATCTCACTATGGCACAATTCCTCGTCGAGCAATAACACATGTATACAATGGGAAAACATTCCCTACTAGATTATCGACTGAGGTGAACTGCCCCTGAGAATCAGAAAGATCACCGTCATTATTATCACCCACGTTTATTACTTAACAGGTATATTGTTTCAGGCTTTTTTTCTGACTTGGATAGTACTGGATAGTACTTGGAATACTGGAGCACACAGTCCAGTGATCAACAGTATGGGCATCGGTCTACGCATTTGGGAAACCAAATGAGCGAGTTTGACGACCCGATTCTGATCTCGGCTCTTAAGACTAGCGCGGGTTGCTGAAGACCAACGCTAACCCAAGTCCTCACCGGTTGAAGATATAAATGGTTTCTGTTGGTATGCTTGATGCGGAAGACTTTTCTGCAGCTCAACTATCTGAACCTCCTGGTATATTGGTTTCAGAAATTATTGTTTGGTTAAAGCAATGTACAAACCTAAAAGGAAATAGTCCAGTGACGAGAAAGACCTTTCTGCACCTCAGCTAGGGGAACTTGAAGCCAAATGATTTCTGAGAGTTTGGTTAAAGCAATATAGAAAACACCAGCGGTGTTCATGTTCTAAACATTTTTCACAAATACTACAGCTTTCAGGAAACTGTGTATGTACATCTATCATGCTGTTGTGTTTCCGATATGCTCAAACAGCAACAGGCAATCCCCTTTCTTAAAAGAAAATATTCAATATTTATGTGTGGAAACATGGTTTTGTTAATTGTGATCAGTGGCTGTAATTTCTCGAAATATGCCGAACTATAAAGGGGATACTTGCTTGGGCATCTCTTCATGCATGTGTGTTGGTACACCACGTCTCCCGCTGTTCTGTCGTGTCTCCCATCGTCACAGACTTCAAGAGAATGTAAGGAGGAATTGAGTAGATAATTAAAACTGATTGACAGAATGTGTCACTGTGTAATATCAGCCGCCGAGTGTTTAATAAACTCACTGAACATCTGTAAGATGCGAGTTAATAGACAGACGGTTGGACTAGTTTGTTCATATCAGCCGCCGAGTGTTTAATAAACTCACTGAACACATGTAGGATGCGAGTTAATAGACAGATGGTTGGACTAGTTTGTTTATGATATCAGCTGCTGAGTGTTTAATAAACTCACTGAACACCTGTAAAATATGATTAAATAGACAGATGGATGGACTAGTTTTTTCATGATATCAGCCACCGAGAGCGTAATACACTCCCTGAACACCTGTAATTGCCAAGCAGACTATTTGGGTAAGATGAACTTTTGATATTGTCCACAGAACAGGTAGTGTCTAAGATGGCGTGTATGACGTTTGCCTGTATACCTGCTTTGTAGCGCTGATATCACCAATATTCATGCTATAAAATGACAGTTTGGACCATACAATCCGGTGATGGACATCACGAGCTTCTATATGGGCAGCTGTGATATGCATCAATTCGAATGACACAAATCATCTTGGCCACCAGATTGTAGATCGCAATTCTAACCTGGATCAGTCAAACAACCCCAGTGTGTGCAAGCATCAGAATAACAGAAAGTGAGTGAGTTAAAATGTAACGTTACCTCAGCAATATTTCAGCCATATAGTGACGAGAAATGTTGTACATACCTATCTGGCATGTATTTTTAAAAGTAGATAACTATTTTAGACAGTACAATGTACACATGGGCTATTGATCGCCAACAACTGAAGGTAGATCACCATACAAGGGACTTACAATGCCTTTGCTAACCTACATGGACCCTAGCAGGATTTACACCATCCCTTCAGCTGCTGGCGATTGTTGGCAAATGTAGCCACAATTAAAATGACAAAAATGCTAGTAAAAAGGTGGAAGACTAAATGTTTCGTCGAATGTTTTGTGACTTACGTATCAAATCACAGAATGAGTGTACGTCTCCAGGCACCATGCACAATACGCGTCTCAATAATCCGTGTCAGTATTCTGTAAATCTGACTACATTGTATTTACATGTAACAGGTCCATCTGGCCCCAAGCTCCGACCAGACCATCGTCTAAAGCTGCAAATCTGTATGTTTTTTTCTGACAATATGTTTTGATTGTTTTATTTCTATTGATGTGATTTGTTGTTTTATTTCTGTTTATTTGTTTTGTTGGAATATTACAAGTTTTATCTTGCCATTACTATGACACAGAATGTAGATCTGCCATCCCCTGCGATGTCCAACGGTTAGTGAGGAGAAAAGATTTTCACTGCTGACGACAGTTTGCAAAACAAAACCGATGACTAACTTTTCATCTGATTGCGCTGTCAAAATGAATTAGTTCAGGGTCGCACCCACTCAATCGCTCATAAAATAGAATATAAGGATGTGATGTACAGATTATTCTTATGACTCACCAGACGATGTCGTCCATATACAGTAAAATACAATATAACTTAACACGTACGCGCGCGCGCGCACACACACACACACAAACACACACGCACTCACTCTCTCACACATTGTCTCACACACACTCTCTCTCACGCACACACCTTCTCTCTCACACACTAAACATATACAATATATTTACAGTGAGCATCTACTTACGATCATCACTGTAACCACGGCATCGTTTGATGTGCCTGCTGTACACAAAATACAGACATTCCCCGTGTGTGCCACAGGTCACAGCACACGAAACCAGGTTATATTCCAGAAAGGAGTATAAGGGTTCCTTTGTCTCCTCGCTCTTGCCATCCTGTTTCTTGCATCTATAGGACGTTTGATAAACATTGCTATGAACGTAAACTGTCCAACACACCCACATGCACCAAATCTTCCCAGCACGGAGGAACTTCATCCTTCATATGAAGGAAACTACAAAGTGAGGAAATGGTTTGCAGAATCTTTTCGTGAAATGTATCTAGCTAAATGAAATTTAATACTCCCATATATTTCTGAAAAAGTGGTAGATTTGATAGAGTATCAAATGTCAGCCGATGAATGTCCATCGGCCAGTCAAATGGAGGCCTGGTACTAGTGATGTGTCTGTAAGCCCATAACGTTTCTAAAACCAAAACCTGAACACGAATACACCCCATAATTTGTGCATTCTGTTTGAGTGTGCTGTGGAATTATCAGTCAGTTGTCATAGCTTCATCAAAGCAACGGATAGACTGTTGGATAAAGTGTGCTATTAATAAATAAATAAACTTTGTAGTTTAGATGATATTGAGTATTGCCTTATTGGTACTACTACAAAAATGTTTTAAAGTTTCCTTTGTTAAATAATTGTACTGATTTTGTTCTTATTCATCTCTGGTTTACGATTATCGTCAATATATTTAGTTTTAAGAACAATTTTCATGCTGACCTTTATCAGCGTACGCATGTCGTTGACGGTCACTGAACATATTTCTAGAAAAAAGCACTTACTAAATAGAAGAAAAACGTTCATTAATGAATATTGAAAACAAATGTTGATTGGTCATGTTAATAGTTTGATTCAAATGGATGTGGACACGGAAATCCTATGGTCTTATTTTGGGGCTAACCTTTCCCATGGGATCATTGTGAGGTCAGCCACAGAAAACCAGGTCAAGACGTACTGCACGTCATGACGGAGAAGAAAAACAGATCGATATTAAGACACATACTTTCCTGATAAGGAATGGTTAGATGTACTATCGGAAGAAGCAAGCGTGTCGGCGTCCACCAGATTCTCCAGGCAGGCAGGAGGAATAATTTTAGGCGATTTTATTTATGTTACCATGCTTTACTGATAAAGTGCACCCATTACATCTAACTTCATTTAAGAGAGTACTTTCTTGTACAGCTCGACTTGCACGTGTGTTGGTACATCACGTCTCCAGCTGTTCCTCATCGTCGCAGACTTGAAGAAAAAAGTGTAAATATTGTTAATGTTTAAATAGCTAATAGAGCAGATACAACACATTCAGACAGAATAATAGATATGTTTCCAGCAGCATACCTGCAACAGGCTACTAAACAGATCAGTATCTCGCCTGGTGACGTGTACCTGCTCATACTATCAACCTCTAGTTGTGTGCTTGTTTACGTTCGTTGCTCATAATACAGACTGGCTTATCTACATGGTGCTCTGGCCGCCATGGAACCGACAATTGTCACATAGCATTACTTTCTGCGACATCAAAACAGCCACGAAAAGAGCATTGTCTGAGGCAGAAAGCCGAAAAAGGTACAAGTTTGGTAAAGGTTTATATGGATGCTATATAGGAGATAAACGTAGTGTTTTGAAACTTAAATTAGTGGTAGACAAAATAGATAGTCTTTACACTTATCTAATTTACTGACTATCGATTCGGTCTAAATGTGATCTAATTTCTTAACACACTTTTGTTTTTCTCCTACATAGCCGTCAAACACAGTGCCTTTAGAGCAGCTGGAGATGAACCCCCTAAGTGTATCTGCTGGACTGTGTGGACTTTAATACGCAAGAGATTCATATGATGAAGCAATACACCTGATGAGATGATTTCCCACGTTAGTGGACATCGCATTGTGAACTACCAGAGAGAGACGTGTCTCTATCATAAATTCTATACATGCATATGTAATAAATTGAATTTTTGAAATCTGTGCCATTATGTTTTCCGTTTGTAAATGATAGTGTAATGAAGAGATATGTAGTTTAAGAAACACTATTTGAAATTTGTACATGGAATGTTGTACATGTGGATATTTGGTCTCGGGTGGACAGGCTCGCTGACTTGGTTGACACATGTCATCTGTTCCCACGTACAATAATGAATATTGATAACAAATGAGGATTGGACAAGTTAATAGCTTGATTCAAATGGATGTGGACACGGAAATGCTATGGTCTTATTTTGGGGCTAACCTTTATCTTTGGATCATTGTGAATTCATCCTAAGAAAACCAGGTCAATACGTATCTCCCTACAGCACTTCATGGTGGTGATGATTAATTCTACAACATCAGAGAAGGAAAACAGATAGATTTTAAGATACATACTTTCCTAAGAAGGCGATTTTCTTCATGTTACCTTACTGTACTGATAGAGTGCACCCACAGCTTTTAACGTCAGTAAAGAGAATACTTTCTTGTACATGAATTCTGCACATGTGCATATTTGGTCTCGTCGCACAATAGCTGCAATAATACCCATGCGACGTAAAATGTCATCTCAACTCAGTCTCAACGCTTGTCTCCACTTTCTTTGTTCCGTGGAAGACACGGCATTATCCGGCTTGCCACGAGATGTGAATTGAGCTCGACTGTGAAAGGGATAGTATGTGTCTTTCGCATTTTTGTTTATGCATTTTAATATTCTGTCAAAAAAAGGCAATCAACTATTTATGCAATGCAATAATTTAATACATAATAGCTTGTCTTTTATAAGGCCAACAAAACACGACAGAAACCAGCCTATTGTTCGGTATACCGTGGTACCGTACCCCCTGTCAACACTATAGCGGAATGATATCACCTGCTTATTTTATTGCAAGTGAGATGAGGTGAGGTGAGTTGAGATGAGGTGAGGTGAGATGAGGTGAGGTGAGGTGAGGTGAGGTGAAATTGGGTTAAACGTCGTGCTTGAGAATATTTCGCTCATATGACGACGTGCATGCGTGTGTATGTGTATGTGCGGCTGCTTGTTCGACCCCAGACTTAAGCTGGTTTTATAGTGCAAGCCCACTGAGATGCCATGCCGCAGTGAAGCATGAATACCCCACTCAGACACATTATACTGAATCCGAGCCGACCAGTCCTTGTTGTACCCATTAATGCCGAGCGCCAGACAGGGACCAACAAGTACCTAATTTTAACGTCGTTTGGCATAACGCGGTCGGGGATCGAACCCACGACCTTCCCCTCTCCGGGCGGACGCTCTAACCACTACAGCACGGAGGCGGTCTTTATTGCAAG